AAAGGGTATCCTTCGGTTTAAAAAAAAGTTTCTTAATTGCCAAATAATTTCTAAACTTACTGACTGCTACACTCGCTTTCAAGGTTTACAAAATGCGCGTTGTGTACATCCTGTTAAAGGAAAAGTGTATTTTCGCCTACGGTTTGAGGACGGAGTCACATAGTTCTCATTAAGTATTTAAATAGATGTGGATAATGCTGCAAAATTGTAGGCAGCATTAATAAATTGACGGATACGATATATTATTAATGAATGCCTCACTATCGTAAACAAGCTAATAATGAGAAACTTGTTTAAAACCAAAAGATACGCTTTTGAAGTATAAAGTTTAAATAGGGTGTGGTCTCCTGCAAAATGAGAACAAGAAATAATTTTTTTGATGTTTTCCATAAAATATATTTGAATTTATAAAGACAGACAAAATCAATGATAAAAAAGCATAGTTCTTAAGAAGACCATTTTTCACAGTTTAAATGTATTGTTAGCCGTCAGAACGAAGCTTGTTAAAAAGCCGGCATCATATCGTGACTGAAATGACTTCAGAATAGACTGCGCGATAATCAGTATTACAAGCTTACCCAATGCCGATTTGGGAAAGAGTACCAATCTCTCACATATGTCGGTATGTTACGTGCAGTTTAGGCCGTACCGTACGGGTGCCACCAACGTTTTCCCATGCTCGACTTTTGTTAAGAAAGCACAATGAGAATAACGCCTGCCATGTCCTAACTTCGCCCCGATGTTGGTCCAGTGGATTTAATGCGTGGACCGTTTAAAATGCTTATTTATCGAAAGCACGCGTGAGCCGGTCAACTGGTCTTCGTGATTCTCCGCTCGAATTTTCGCAAATTGCCAGTACAAGCGACAAAATGAGTCCCAGGAAGAAATGGAAAAAAGCTGCTACTTCTCAATTTTCGCAAACCTAAAACTGCTAATTTCCAAAGAATATCCAGAACATCTGAAGAGCGTAGTGATTCATTAGAAAATCTAAATTATCGATTCCTTCATCCAGCATTCGTAAACCAAAGCAGGTTCAGTGTCGGTGTTATAAAGAAATAATGCCGGGTAGATGAGGTAGTGGTGGAAAACGCCGGCCAGTCTAACGGGACCAGTGAAAACACTGTTACCTTTTTATGACCCCATACAGGTCGAGTCAGCAGGGACCCTGATAAAATTCGCCCATGACGCGTGCCAGAATTAAATAGGTAGTTTACTGTCACGTTAATGTCCAAAGCAACCTTAAAGGTCACATAACGACGGGGTTTATGGTTTTCTTGACAGAGAGTTGGGCTATTTCAAAGGCATCCTGCATCGGAAACTGCCAAAAATAATATGTCGACTTTATTTCTCATGGACATTCGGGGGAGGGAGAAGGTAACATTGTCGAATAATAATATACACACTCAACGCTTTGGTGCAAACCACCAATCCTAAGAAAATTGTGAAAAATGTGGCTTCCCAGAGGAGGCATTCTAAATGAAGGACCAATGGGCCTAAACGTATGTGAAACGCCATGGCCAGTAATTTTTTAGTTTGGCTGAAAGGACTCCACTCGTTAAATCCTTCCCTTCAATCAGTGTCTCGAGCAGTTTAGTTCAATGGTTATATATTCGCATAATGTCTTAAAAACTAAGGTACGACATGTAACCGAACTTCTGAAGATATCTAATAAGATGTTTATAATGGATATATCCCTCTCTGGTCTGCCACTGTGGACAATTGGTCCTGCTCTAAGGCTTCAAATGATATTTTAGCGAAATCTAGTAGACAAAGTTAAATGTAGGTCATTGGTGTGCATTCAAATGTCCCCTTCATCCTGCAAGGATAAATGAATTGTCGTCCGTCGAGAGCGCCTTGCAAGTCTACACCTCTCATAGGTAACAAATGCTTACAATCGCCCTCATTAAAAGCATCTTCTCAAGGAAAACAATGCGAAAGGTCACTGAATATATTTACCAGGGTTTTAATTTTGACAGGGATTATGGGTTTAGCTGTAGAAATCAGTGGTGACCTACCTTTCTACCTCTCTCTCTCTTATAACTGGCGTAATCAATAACACACACCGGAAGGTTCACTTGCATCCCTCATATGAGTGAGGCTAAAGGCAGACGTATGGTTCTACTCTGCAGTCTACTCATCTCGGCCCTTCTCTTAGTCGAAACCCACACCTCACGACGCGGCAGTCAATACCGATCATGCGATGGGTGAAAATTGAAGTCTACAGTCAACGCATTGAAAAGCAAATGCATCTCTCTTATGCGTGACTGAGTACAAGCTGTGTACTCGGTCGCAAAAGTGATAAGCCAGGTGAACGAGAAGACAGCTTCAGAGGATAACGTCGCCTTGAGATGCATTACGCGAAGATTGCAGAAATTGTGAAATGTCATCTCCGAACTAGAAGGAATTAGATAGGTGAGGTTTTGAAGCCCATTAGCACTCACCATGACATTTCGATCACGCCAGGATGCCGGCTTTAATATTAACCGATATCGTCAACTGCACTAATCACATTCGCTACAACAGACCCCTTCTACACTGCGACATTTTTCACTGATTGTCAATAACTTTACAATCCCATGGGTTTAAAGTACTCCTTCCTTGTTGTCAGTTGGAAGGAAATTATGTTTTCGTCAACACTAATGCAAAAGGAAATGGCATATTTCCGGTCTACGAATTGCGTTTCCAACTGGCGATAAATTTCGAACTAGGGCGAGCAAAGGTGTAAAGCTCGGAGTTTGCAAATGCCAAGCGGCAATTTTTCTTTTTAGGATAATGCATGCATTCCGCTCTGCTATCAAGAAGACACCATAAATGGCTGAAATAATTTAACAGCATGCATAGATCACGCTGTATGTTGCATAAGGACTATTAGTAGACGGAAAAATAGAATGCTATTTAAATTGGCATTTCCGAATCTTAAAATATCAAACAAACAATAAGTGAACACAATCATTCTACAGCGTCGGAAAAGAATAAATGGAAATCGTACATAATAACTTTGACGTAACTCTTCGCCAGTGTGAATCTTGCACGCAACTAAGCAAAAGGCATTCAAAAATTTCTTTAAATTACGCTGCTTCTTAATCGATCTTGCAACAGCACTTACAGCCAGTGAGCAACCTCATGAACTGTTAACTAAAATTCTCAAACACGGTTTCAATTGGGAAGGATTACGTAAGTGAAACTGTACAATTTGTTATCATACAGTATAATTCCGAAATATTTTAGACAGCTGAGAAGTATGGGTTCTGAATGCATGTATTTTTATCCGCCTGGGAAAAACGCACTCAGGGGAATATGCTTAGACAAGTACTCAGCATTTTTATTGACTTTAGATCCTCTTACAAATTCAAATATATCTCACAAAGGCCTAATCAAATGCATTCTGTCTCGGCCTCATTTCAGAGCTGCTTATCAAACAATGAAAATTGTAAATGTGTTTCCAATTCTCGAAACAGTTTAAGTCACATCTTATGTTGCATCTGCATTAAGGATTTCCATTCTAGAAGTTGTATTAGTTCAGTGTAAGGAAATTCATGCATTCTCTATTTATGTATGACGATGCCTTACAGCGTTCATAAAAATCTCGAAGGGCTATGGACTGAGTCCTAAACTTAATGAGGCACACTGAAAATTCGGTAGAATGCTATCCGAATGGACAGGGAACTGCCTTGGAAACTCATACTACCGGAAAGTTCTTAGAACCTAGATATACCGCTGAATAAAATATTTAAAGTAGGGGTTTTTTCTAACAAATTAGTGCAAGAAAAATATTTTTACTTACGTTTTCTACAAAATATATTTTACTTCCAAGGGACACCGAGGATCAATAGAAAACATGGGTATTCCATCCGTAGCTATTCTTAGTCGGTTTGGACTTTTGTTCGCGTCTGAAAATATTTGTAGTCAGAAATCGAAATACTGACACATCCGAATTGTCTTGGGATAATGCTGTAGGATACCAGATATTACAATTTCACTTCAGTAATACTTCTCATCGAAAACGATTTTCAGATGGTTGGATAACCCTTCATGAGATCAATGACTAACTGTAAGTAATCCTTTTTGATCGAAATCAATTTTCAGAATTTCAGTTAAGGTTTTAGGAGTTCCGTCGAAGACTATATACGTGCTCACGCCGTAGCACGCATGCAATTAGGAAATGGCAGGGGACTTATCTTTTATGTAATAACATTTGGTGGAAGTCCGTTTTTGTTGCATTTGTCCTATTGCCACTGTGACAAACGTGGAGTGCTCCCTTAATTCTAAAGTCACCTTCCTCAGAAGTGTATCGATTTACAAGAGCTTTGACAAAATCAAAGATCATGTTTACGAGGTTTTTGGAAAAGTTGGCTGTGAGTTGCGAGAAAGACCTTGACTAATACTCATTCTGACTATCTAGGCAGGGCTTGAGAAACCTGAACTGGTAGAATGGCATTGCAGATAAATAGGAGGTGAACTGAAATGACCACTTTTGGATTATTAGCCGTCATCAGCCAGCCATACCTAGTTCCAGATGCTGGAAGCCCTGCGGTTCCATTCCGCAACCTGTTGGTAAGAAGTCTAACACCGTAAGCATTGAGCCACGGACTAGTTGTTCTGTCGAATGCACTCAGGTTTACTGTTAATGGCGATGTGGTGCGGTTACTTGACATTTTCGTCTCGCCATGCCTAAGAGCTCAATCTCGAGCCATGTCAGCACCAAACTTGGTTCCAACCAAGGCTAAAGGTTACGCAATCATAACCAGACGAAGTAAGTACAATCCAAATTATATTTGTGCATCATTCTCTTGACCATAAAACACCAAAACACTTAATTATATTCAGATTTTCTGAAGTAACGAGTCAGAAACATTTCTACTTCTTTCATGGAAATGCAGAAACCCATCTCAATCGGGAAACAATACTCAAAACTGAAGTTCATGGTAAAAAATTGAAGTTGTCACAGGTTTTAGTAGTAAGCAGGCGGTGTCAGTAAGCCCACGAATAAATTAACGTACCATTTTCAACAATTGCCATTCTGTGGAATACTTTGAGCCAGCTGAAAGTTTGTGGGCCCGGCTCCGCAAGCATACGTTCGAGGAATTCCTCCACAAGAATACTCTTTGAACGCTGAAAGTTAATGCAAGTCATAAGAAGGAGAAACTTTTATAATCTTCGTAAGCATTGCTCATGAGGAGGACAACATCAGTTTAATCAGTTTAAAACTCTAGGTTTAACATTCGGAAACAGGGAATTCGTTGAACTCTTAGCCAAGTTTGAGCCGGTTAAGTCTCATGCATCACGCAAGACTGCGCAGTAAGTATGGACTAAGTTCAATCTCACTAGCATATGGGTCGTCCAAAAACAGATGGCAAAAACCGCATTTGATAAAAATGACTAAATAAAGAGTACAGGTTCTTTCTATCGATTCTCAGTGCCCACAGAAATTCAAATATATTTTATAGAAAGCCTAAGAAACCTTATTTTTCATGGCATCCTTTGATAAAAAATCGCATTTTCTTCAAACGTATGTACAAAGGAAAGATAAAATAACATTTTAAAAATGATTCCCCACTGCCGAATAATTTTGAGCCCGACCTGCACGTGAGTTGACAACTGTATGCTTTCTGTGTAGGGAAAAGCATACGTTCCATTTCGTCATTAAGATTGTACAAACGAATGCTAATTAAGTTTTACAATGGACGTAGGCTATACCGGATACTTCTAAACTAACATTATTAAACGAACAGATACAATAAGAATTGAATGGTCATTTCACGGTCTTAAAAAATGCCGGAGTTGGGAGATGAAAAAGACCTGCTTAGCTATCAAATGACTACAATAAATATTATATTTATTTAAGTTTCCTTAAAAGCAAATTTGACTTAACAAGGACAATGCACCTCAATAGGAAAATGCATACTATTGAAATGGTTATGTTTATCGTGTATGGAGTGTCCCCGCTCCGCAGGCGGAACTCGCCTCTTGCAGCTGCTAGCCCGTGCGCACCCCTCAGGATCTGCATCCCAGGTGGCCGAAATGGAGCGTATTCAAAAAGCGGCATTCTGGCACTTCGAAAATAGCGTGAGACTATTCTGCGAAATAATAAATGTAAAATTTATCTTAAGTAATTATGTCCACTGCATAACGGATTTCGAAAGTTCGGTTAACCTTGCCTGTGGGTTGACGGGCGGTGAACATCCATCAAACAGAGCAATCGGGTCAGTTATATCTCTTTAATTACAGGAGAAAGCTCCTTGCCCGTCAGCATTATGACTTAATTGGTGTGAGCTTTTGAACTTGTCAGAAATAAAAGCGGCACCAAGCAAGCAACATTTACAGGAGTTGGGACCAATTAAAAACCAATGAGGCCAGTCCGGAGGTTATCGCGCAGGCCTCTGTACGCCGGCGCCAGGTCGATAAATCGATTGACTGACGTCTCATGAGAGACCCAAGCTTCAATAAATTCCTGTTTTGTATTGCTTTTGGTTGGGGTGATTATATGCGTAACGGTGAAGTGATATTCATGATTCGTGTCATAGGTGTAGGCAGCCACTTGTAATAGTCCGTCATCCTATTGCACAACCAGCGTATGTTCGCGTATGCGCGATCCCAGCGTGCATCCAGGCTGCCCTGTGTAGTTTAAAGTACACTTTAGACATCTGCCGTTGAAGGGCAACAATTGTTTAGGCTCAGGAAAGAATGCTGTCGTTTTACACACAAAATAGTACGTCTGATGTGGATACGAAACTCACCCCAGTGATAATAAACTTGGAGGTCTGGGCGTTGTAGGAGAAGTTCGGTTCCTCGAATACACCAACCGCCAAAGATAGCAGTTCCTGTAGATAGGTTTCCAGTCGCGGAATTTGTAGGACGCCAGCCGGATTTGTGAGAAGTGTGAAGTGGTCTGTGTAAAAAAGGGGATAGATATGAGAGAAAAACAACACAATATCAGACAGAAAGCAGCTTCTATCCGGCAACAGAAATAAAAACCAACTTTGGGGCCTCCCGAATAATACAAATTGGCAATATGACTTTGTACCAGGGAATTTGGCAGCGAAGAATCATAAACAGATCCGAAATAAGCTGCACTCTGGGAAAAAACGAAAAACCCTCGTAATTTAGCGACAACAATCATAAGCCTCTATAGTCTTCAAATACACCTTATGACGCGCAAAACGTTTCTGATATTCATAATTAATCCGGCCGTGTAAAGCCTCCGTGAGTTCGGTAAGTTTAGAACCAATGTCAGGAATTTAATTCAACTAGTGTTCTTACCACGGATCGGGGTCTCTTTTTTCTCATTTGGACTATTTTGCCCGCCAAACTTACTGCAGCCTGCGGAATACACAAATTAAACTGAGTTAGCCTGACGTCTCTAAAAGTATTTAGTAAGTCCTTAATCAAGACTCTACTAGATGACCAAGCGGAGTCATATGTAATATCAAATTATCGTTGCAGAACAGGACCGGTTAATGACCTCGTACGCATCAATTCTGCCATTTCTGGTTAAGTAATCGGAAATGGAAATGCTCATCGGCTTTAATGTGCATTGCAGTTCTAGGAGTAATGGGACATTTGGACTGTTTCTGGAATTCCATGACATTCAAGTGCAAAAAAATGTACTTTGCTTATTAAATAAACCTAGATATAAGGACGAACAGGCCGAAATAATACGGCAATTTTATTCACCCTAAAGTCTAACGAGATTTAGGATCTTACAGCTACAATATACTTCTGTGTAGTTCTAAGCCGATAAAGCTGACCATCGGGAATTGGGATGAAACTCCATGTACAATTCTCCCATTAGGAACTAGGTATGATAACCGAATGGCGGCAGACCTGCGTATTTCCGCAGTGTCGGACAGGTGTTTCGAATTCTTAGCTGCAATATGAGGCTCGTGGGTGCGTATAAAGGCGGGTATGCATCGTGGACTACAATACACGACGCAGCGGGCTTCGCAAGCGAGCTTTTCGACGATTTCCTTCTTACTAAAGAACTCAACTCTATGTTTAAATTGTACAAGTTGGGTTCGTAAATTAATAGTCTGTTTGTGCACTTCTCGTACTTTGTGTTTCCTCAAGTGACTTCTAATGCAATATATATATAT